CTAAAATTTTACGAGATAATGCCGCTGACGATCAATTCATAAGGGACAGGAAAACTATTACTAGAGATTCTGATCTACAGCAAGTATAGAATCCTACAGCGAAGTAGAATCCAGCGTGCAAGAGAGAACTTGCAAGAATTTTAAGAAGGCTTAGAAGAAATAGCAGTAGATATGTTCGTTAATGAGAGAAAGTTATCTCCAGAATATTGATTTCGAACACTAATTGCTAATCAAACTTCGTGAAGCCATCGAGTTCGAACAATTGAATAAAGAGACGAACAGAAGGAGGAATATCTGGAAGAAGTTTTCAGGAAAATAATTCGTAATAGAAAAACGGAAACAAATTTTGCACCTATAAAAACAAACATACAGCTTATGTAGTTACTGTTAACATAACAATATTAAAGATAGTTAGCCCTTGTCTCAAATAGACAATATATTGGATATTCTCTCTGGATCCCATTGGTTATTTACACTAGATCTAAAAAGTTCACAGTCAAGTAGTAAATGCGCTATCTGATTGATAGAAAATAGCATTCTCGATAGGATCCAGTGTTTGGCAATTTACAGTTATGCCTTTTGACAGAAGATCATTTGACAAGCATTCCAAAGATCACATACAAATTGGGTCCAAAAAAATGTCAGATAAAAACTGTATTCTCAATAGAATCAGTCCTTACTTCCTGTTATAATATTCTTTTAGTAGATCTACCTGGATTACTACAGGATTAGTTTTTTAAGTTAGTTAAACGACCACCCACAATTTAATAACAATTTTACTCTATTAAAGTATATGTTATTTTTATTATTTAACAGAACATTTTCAGTTAACACTTTTAAAGATTTGATTTTTATATTAGTAGATAAATTTGTCTAATTATTCTAAATTTAAATAAAGAAATAGTTCTTAATTCATTTCTCTTTAATTATTCTCATTTATGTTAATATCATTACTAAACTGACTAAATATTGAAATAGCAAAAATGTATTGTTAATAGTTATATTTGTACAATACTTTAAACACAAAGTTATAAATAGTAACATGCTTATTATTGTTTGGCAATTCATTTATAGCATTTATAAGGATAACAAAGGTTAGCAATTAAACATATAATGATATACAAGTAATTAATGATAAAATGTATCAACCTTCATGTTTAATCAAATTGAGGAAAGGTAGAATATACCTTTATACACTATAAACATGTTAGTGGATGCAGAAATGTAATTAATAATTTTATTATTTTATCATATACACTAAACAACAGAATAAATTGACATCTATTGACTTAAAACACCAGAATAATAATGATAATATTGTAGACTGTGTAACGTAAGTTTATTTCTCAGTCAGGTCAAGAAAATGTTGGAACTATGTCTGTTTCTAAAATTATTGGAAAGTGGGTGGCAGTATATTAGTAAAGTACGAAAATTACCTATATGTTAAATGTTGAATTTTATTTTCCTAAGAAATTGAATTATCAATCCATACACTTATATTTCAAATAAGCTAACTCAAAAGGGATACATTTGCTGGAAGTAAAATGTTTAGATTGTACATTTTTACATCTCTATAGTTTGAAACATCCTATACTGAGGTGTTAGTACAAAAAAAAATTATATAGTATCCTATCTTAAAAAGACAAGAAGGGAAACAAACATGGTTTACTTTTATTCTTAAACTTTGATAATACTAATGAAATAAATCTAGAAACAAGAAAAAGATACCTAAAATAAAAGATAAGACTATGAAACTCTACGAAAAGCTACTGAATTGGTATATACACTTATTGAATAAATCCAGATATAATATATGCAAAGGAAATACAACTGGGAACTCCAATAAATACATTTAGTATAAAACACACACAAATGCCTTCAAAGATGATCCAAATTTATGTTAAGGAATAAAAAAGTCATAAGGAAAAAATAAGAAAAATAATTAGCAATGTGAATTTTTACACTAACATATTTTCTATTTAATAAATTGCAATATTATAAAAAATATTAGTAATTTAAACAAATTTTGTTTTTTTGTTAAAAATATATCATGTTTACTATAAAATATCATTCTGAACTGTGAAATACTATTTGTAATAAACACACTTATAATAATTTATGTAAATAAACATCTTATCTATATTTAACCATGTGATTTTAAAGTTAACAATATTACTCATGTTATTGAAACTGACTAAAATAATGAGCCAATTAAATATAAATTACCTAAAAACTGTTGTTTCAAGCACATGATTATTCATTCAATTTAAAAAATCAGACTCATTATACATGGAAAAGAAAATTACTTCTAGCAAATCATGTTTTGAAAGTTAAATCCTAAATATAGATCATTGCAATTATGACAATATTCAATATAGAGGAGCATGATTAAAGATTGTGTTTTAAACTTGTTCAAACCTGTTCAAACAAGTCAGACAGCACATACCTTCTTTCAGTATTAACATTAGAAAGACCAGAAAAAAGAAAATATTGTGAAATGTAGTTAAACAATTTATTTTAGGAGAAAACTATTATTAAAAATTTCTCAAAAGTTTGAGGTGGTATTTATCTTCATCAGTTAGGTACTAGTCTATGTGATGAATATTTGCTTGAGCGAGCATAATCATATACATTTATAATTTTTAATGAGTGTACATAAATGATGGTAAATAGTGTGTGCTTGTTATTTTTCTAAACTTCTAAAATATTAGTGACATAAAACACATATTAAAATGTGGCTTCTTAAAATCTATATGTGATTTCTTTAAGAATCAATTATATAAGAAATATAACAGAACATAGAAAAATGAAATGAAAAATGGTATATTTAAATCAGACTTGGTTGGATACTTATAACACAGTGAAAAAAAGATGGACAAATAATAACTTATCATCAGTTCTTCTCAAACATCTAGAAGAAATGGAACTAATATGTCTAGACTCTTAACAATGGCAAGTGTGATCTTGCCGAAACATCAGAACCATTACAAAACAATTATGCCAACTATGGCAAATACATATTTAATAAATATTTTCAAAAAATATCCTAAACTAAAAAAATATATGAAAAGACTAATCAATAATAAATACAGATAATCAGTTTTTGACGATCACATATAATGTTTTCAAAGTATTTTAATGTAATTATAAATGATAATAATCTCAAAAAGATACATTAATCTACTATTTTGAATATTTACTTTAAAAAACTTCCATTTATTGATAGTAGTACAGAAAATAAAGGAAGTTTCCCAGGAAAAATGATGATATATTTTTTGCCCACAGAATTATTGTTTTAAAACTTGGCACAGTATGTTTGACCTAAGACAAAAGGAATGTTTCACTGCTTTGGGGATTAACATGCTAATATTATTAATCTATGTTCAGGTAATAAAACTGTATATAAATGGAAAATGGAATTTTATTTATCTCTTAACCACAAATAGTTTTAAGTTATTATTAAATTAATAATCCTTTTATCTTGAGTCTTGAAGATAGAATATGTTATATCAAATTTTAATTTTTGAACGTAAAAGGTGATAATAATAATAACTATAATGAATAATTTCCAGAAGAAACTATGATATGTGTAATATGATAAAATGGATAACATAACTAAAAACAAGCTTAACAAGTCAACTGCAAAGTTAACTGTCAAATACATTAGATAGTGAATCGCAGATAAACCTGAAAAAATATTTTTATAACTAAAACTGAATTAAAATTCAGAAATCAAGTTGATTCTCTGATAACTCAGCAGTATTTAAGTTAATGACATTCTGTACACAGACAAAAAAATGACTTGCAAAAATACTGTCTACCGATTTTGATATTATAAAGTAGCATGGTTTTAATATGAGAAAAGACAGATACATTTCATGTGAAAGTAGGATTACATCACGGCTTCCCTTAGTTCTTATATTATCTTATTAGTATTGGATCAGAAAATAGCAAAATTAAAGAGTATCATTCTCTAGAACTTAATGTATGCTGATGATACCTTATTACTAATAAAAAGGAAACAGAGCAAAGATTGGAACGATGACCATAGAGTCTTTCAAAATGAGAAGAGGAGCCAAAAACCTAGTAGAGCATAAAAAAGGACATAGGGTATCTAAAATGTTATTTAAATATGGAATTATTACAACAAATAAAATGATAACTTTGGATGGTACAGGACCTACAGTAAGAGGTTTACGTATATATGATCAATATTATAGAATGATGAGGAAATCAATGGAGGTGCATGCAGATAAGTTAAAGAGCAGTACAGATAAATCAAATGTTGTGCTCTGTGATGAAAAGATTTCAATGAAATTCCAAATTCTGTAAAACTGCATGCAGATGGAAAGAAGCCCTGATAGGCAAAGCTTAGCCAAGACATATCTGTGATAGGGAATAATGTTGGTATAACAGAAGACAGAAGCTTGTAGAATAGATTTAATAAGGAATGCTGATCACTGATCACAATAGTATTAAAGGCAAACAGAATTATGATGATGAAAATTGCATGGTTTAATAGGTTGTTTGGTGTTTATTTGTTTGGCATTTAATATGAGTACTCTTTTTAGAAAGCTTTAGCACAAATAGTGAAAGATTCAAAATGTTCTTGATGAAAATGTATAATGCAATTTTCTACATTTTTGAACTATAGTTGTACAGCCCCAAAACACACAAAAAAATGATTATTAAAAAAAGATACTTAGGTGCCAATCTTGCCTCTTGCAAAGATTGTAAGTTTTCCAAGAAAATAAATAAAATTTATGCATCAAAGTATTTCAAATATATCAATTTTTTTAACCATATATAAATTTTGGTTTGTGAACCTTGTGATACAAGGATTTTAACATGTAAGCAATTCTTAAATTAAAAGTGTTGTTCTATTTTGCAAAAGAGTTTTCTTCTAATATTTTCAATGTTTCTCAGACTTGTAACTTATAAATGTTATGGGTTAAATATTACTTAAAAATCCTTATGTGTTTAATTAATGCTTCACCTACCTGATATGTGGTATTCCTATGCCTCCATGAAGAATTTTATATAGTTTACTTTCATATAAAAGCTGTGGATGCCTTGCTCTAATTGGTTCAAGTTTTACTGCTACTTCCTAAAATAATAATTGATCATGAGAAATGTTGGTCAAAAGCCTAATTAGATATTTTTATTTAGTTCACAATGTGTGGAAAGAGTAGGCATAAAGTGAAACTCAAGATTATCCTTGAAACTACTGTTAAAGAACAGGAAATGAATTAAACCATTGAGAAATATGATATATGTTTGCAATAAATCTCTAATTTCACAATAAGGTCCTGTATTACAATTTAATTTAATTGTCACAGACAAAATAAAACTTGAAATACATATTAAAAGGTAAAAAATACAAAAAATCGTAAATATTTCATACTCAAACAAAGTTGTGAAATACTTTAGTAAGGTAACCTACTTTTGAAATGTTGCGAATTAATGTATGGTCTTTGTTTAGATAATAATAACACTTAATTTTAGCAACAAAATATAATAAATTAGGGGAATAGTAATAAGATATCTGTTAGTGAATGGTAAGTTTCAAACAAGGTACATAAAGAACTGAAAAGGATATGGCTGCCATTTGCCTATTTAGTTGTGTCAAACCCGTTAACATGTTACAAACAAAGAGAAACCTGTATTTTAAATTGGTTTCTGAAATAGGTTTGAAATAATATCGATAACATTTACATACCTCTCCATTTGTAATATTTATTCCAAGGTATATGTCACCAAAAGATCCACTACCGATTTTACGAAGCAGACGATATTTTCCTCCGACCACATAATCAGGCTTTCCGATACCGATGATACTACTTGTATGTACAGCCATTTTAAGTGCCATCTCAACAATTTAAAGAAGTCTAATAGAAAATTGTTTGATTAATTTTGAATAACGGAAAACCAATACTTTTTACAACAACACTATCACTTGTTCCTCTCAACACGCCGACATATTTCTTTTTGAGCCAATGACTTTATGACGTCAGAACATTTGACTACAACAGCGACATCTTGCAATATATACCAGGAGACATAGCAGATTCCTATATTTTAAAGGCATGTTTAAATCTCGGTATTGTATCAGGATTTTTTACAAACAAATTATATTCTTATAAGAACTGTTGGGAATTAATTGATCTTATAGACAATGAAAATATTGAATCAGAAATCAATTCAAAGAGGTTCTTTTAGGTTGATACTAAAGAGGATGCTAATCTGCAGTTTTTTATTTTTTTTTTCATGTTTTTATCTTTCCATATTTGATATAGAGTTATTTTTTTTTTATTGATAGCATTTAACAAAATCTGAATATATTATCTACTTTAGTAAACTTAAAAAACCACAAATTCTGTCAATTCTACGAAAAAAAAGGAAGCGGGAGAGACAAAAATATTTTTTTCACTTGATTTGAGAAAACGGAATTTTAAAATTTCAACATATTATGTAAATTAAAATTTAAAAATATCACAAATATTAACTTTATTTTTTCTTCTTATACAAGGTGAGTCATTATTGGGATATCCATTTACAATGCAAATCGGGACATTAGTATGGTTAGACCAAAACCCTGACACCCAAAGTACCTAAAAGTTGTAAATTTATATAGGTATTTATAAAATATATCAGTCGGTAAATTAGTAGGTTTTTGGGTTTCCCACAAATATTTCGAAAACTATGTAGTTTAGTATGAAGAAGGTTCCATACAAAAATGTCCGATGTATAATTATTCTAAAATTAACTTTTCCGTAGTTACAGAGGATGTAATAATGGAGGTTTTCCATATTTTTGATATTTTTTGGACAAATTATAATATTATTACTGAGGAAACTAATTTTTTTAACAGGATTGTATTTTGTAAATGTAATTTGCTATTTCAGTGGCCGGTGGTATGCTAGTGATAAGCCTTTGAAGGACGTCAACCTCACCACCCTCCTAAGGGGCGCCACTGTTTAAGGGAAAATCAGGTTTCACAGGCCTAGGCCATATAAACCTGTGGTAAAAACCCAAAATATTTCTTGCTTAATAATGGTGATTAGAATGCAATGAGTTTCAAGTAAACTTAAACTTATTTGTCAGTTTCAGTCCTCTTCCAATACAATATCCTCCTCTTCTACATCTTGGTCTACGATGATTGTGTCCCTATTATCACATCCTTGGCCTGAGTATTTGCTTAATATGCATGAGCAGTTTAGACCAAGCTTTCTCCACTCATACTTACTGATGAATTCGTCTTTGCAAATACACACTGTGGGGGAAAGTAATTTCTCGGGATCTGCAGTATCCAGCACTAACCTGCTGGATCTGCAGCACATACTGTTATAATTGGTGTCAGGTGTTCGTTAATCTTCTTCCAACCCCATTTGAGCGGCTTCTTCTTCTCATTCAGCCACTGCTGTACCTGTTGGTAGGTTCTGAACGAATGCTGGCTGGAAGCTCCAGGAGAGTGGGGTAGTGTAGATAACTTAAGCAAGGAATGTATACGTTGCATTGCAATAGCCTTTAAGTAAGATTGGTAGTGAAAATAATCTAGAGCTTCCATATTACTGACACCAAACATCGCAAGAAGAAAATGCTTTCCGGCGTCCACTGCTGTACTTAAGTTTTCTACAAAGAGCGTCATTGGCTTGAACTTTCCTATATGGTGTAATTTTCCTCCTCTTGTAAATAGCTGATATCATGTCACATTCTGTAAATGCGTATATTTCAAGAAGTACATCCTTCATCCAATGCCTCGCTGAATGTCAGCAATAGTATAAACTTTTTCCTGCTCATTGCCTTTCTTTGATACAACCATTTTCAATTTCTTCTCTGATGGTGAGTGAGCAGTCAACCAAACTAGTAGGTCCATGTCATGGCCAATAACACAAAATGCAACGTCTTTCTTAGCTTCATTAATAGCTGTTAAAAGTCAGCGTCACCCAATGCTTAATGAACTGTACAACCACATCTTAACAAGTGTTAATATAGTGCAAGTGTACTATAAGAAGTAAAATATTTTAAAAAATTTTAATGTTTAAAAATCAATTGACTCACGAGGTATCTTTACTGGAGGTTAATTTTCTTGTTAAGATGGTTTTGAACATAAATATAAGTTTGTAGACTGACTAGAATCTTGGCTGTGTAGGTCCTAGCCTCCTCAAAAATTTCTCTCCAGTCGTCCCTATCCGCATTACATATCCTATCCACCTCAGACGTCCTACAATATTTATGTGTTACGATATCGGTTTTAACATATGTAAACTCCGCCATAATTTACAACCTGTCAAGTGATTATGGTATAGCAAAAATTGAACATTTTTTGAAAAATTCATAACTTGGGCCCTTTTAAAACTGGAAAGTTTATTCACTGGATACTATTTAGTTATAATATGCTGTTTAAACAGATGCAACGTGGACACTGTACAACGAATAGTTTTTTCAAAATATTAGTTTGAATATTTTGTACCGACATTTTGAATGGCTCAGCATATTAACTGAAGTTATTCGATTTTAATTTAGAAAATATATTATCAACATTTAAAATATACTCTCCAACTCGTATATCCTCGATTTTCATTTTAAGTATGGCGAAAAATGTAAAATCAGCGCCAAACATTACTCCAGCCGATTTCACTTTTGGAACGGAAGAGTGGTGGATTGAAGGATGCGACAAGTTTCTCCACACTCTGCTTACCTTCAAGTCGACACTCCTTCGTTCCAAATAGTGCAATGTTTGGCGCTGTTTTTACATTTTTCGCCATATTGAAAAGCGAGGATATATAAGTTGGAGAATATATTTTAAATGTTGATAGGTAATATGTTTTCTAAATTAAAATTAAATAACTTCACTTAATTATGATGTGCCATGCAAAATGTGGGTGCAAAATATTCAAACATTATCCAGAATTATAAATAAACATTATCCAGAAAAATAGCTTTACAATTTTAAAAGGGCTTAAGTCATGAATTTTTCAAAAAAACGATACATTTTTTGGGGGTTTTTCGAGTTTTCTCTGCAACAAATGCACTGATAAGGATTTATAAAATTAATTTGTTTGTTTTTTCACGATGATGTAAATATTATTGAACATTGATTTCGCGCGCGTAACTTATATCAAACATTGTCGATCGCTTCAAGCTTTGTTTCTGAGAAAACGGTTCATTTTACACAAAAAGTGATAAGAAACATTTTTATTTAAAATTACCTGAGCTACATTTTTTATTAAAATGTTTTTTTATGGCGCACAGAATCTTGGCAAATCGATTTTTTTTGTTTCCCCATCTACAAGGGGGTTTAGGAGAAAGCCCGAAGGTAAAAGTGGTAAATTTTTTGTATCTTTTTTGGCGTCCTAAAATTGACGTTCTCGCCAAAATTCAGCTTGTTCGTATGATTTTTAGAGCTTCCGTGGCATTTTCGTCTCTGGCGACTGGAGTATAAATGGTATTTTTCAATTAATATCAGTGATAAATAAGCAGCAAACAAGGATACAAAAAATAGAAAAACACCACCAATCTTGAAAGATTGTGCAATATATTGTAGCAACCAAAATTTAATCTTTGTGTAGAATATTGCATCATATCTCAACAATATTGTGCAATAGGTATTGGTTCTATGTTAACGTAGCAAATCTCAAAATATTGCTTGATGAGTCATATATACACATATGTCCAAAACTTTGCAATACGTACAAATAATACATTTACGCCTATGGTGGTTTTAAAATTGTTGTTGATATTCATTCTAGAGCGTTTTTAAATGAAAATGATAAAAAATTTGTATCGTCTTTGTATGAATTTGGTCACATTCAACTGATTAGCGTATTTACACATTATTTCAGTCTTTGTTTAAATTTAAATTGAGCCGTTACAATAGGGCTTAAGACAAAGTTATATCGCGAATATTGTTGATGTTACTCAGAGTACTGTATAGAAAATTTAAAAAATTCCAAGATACAAATGACGTCAAGGATAGTCTCAGAAGTGGTAGAAGTCGATGTATAACAGCAGCAAAAGACCGGCAACCCAGACAGCACAAGACATCCCTGGGACGTCCATTTTATGCCATTTTAAGGTCCAAACGTCCCGGGACTTCTTTTGGACGTCCGAGGGAGAGTATTTTCATCTCTGTTGTTTCTAGTCCTCCTCTCGTTTTATATGTGCTTTATAGATTCTTGGTTTTGTATCTTTTCTCATCATCATCATCATTGGCTTTTACAACTCTTCGTGAGTTTTTGCCGCGTTTACTATTGCCTTCCATGGATTCCGATCCTATGCTATTATTTCCCATGGCCTTACTTCCATCTTCTCCAGGTCTTCCCTGACAGCGTCTTTCCACCTTTTTCTAGGCCTTCCTGTCGATCTTTTACCATCTGGTCTTTCCCAAAACACATTGCTAATCAGTCTGTCGTCATCACTCCGTACCACCGTATCTTTTCTCAGGTGTTTGTTATTCCAGATTGTGTAATTAAGAGATCCGCCGCTTTACATGCTGTTAAGCTTTGTTGTAGTACTTCTTCTTCAACATCTCCGTAACTAGTTATATCTATTCCCAGATATCTGAACCTTGCTTCCTGCTTTATTATTTTCCCATCAATTTCGATTTTAAATCGTAGTGGGTATTTAAAAGTTGTCATACATTTGGTTTTTTTCTGCTGATATCATATTTTATTTCTTCGCCGTTGTATTGAAGATGTGTGTTATTCTTTGGAGCTTCTCTTCTGCCTCGGCGATTAATGCGGCGTCGTCTGCATAACATAATCTTTGGTTTTCTTTGTTCCCCCTTCTGTAACAATGACCTTTGCGTACTGCTTGTATTGTTTCGTCCATTATTATATTAAAGAGAAGTGGGCTTAACGAGTCACC